CTTCCTTCCTTCCTTCCTTCCTTCCTTCCTTCCTTCCTTCCTTCCTTCCCTATGAGTGACAAAACTTTTATACACCTTGACTTTGCCCTTTGACGTCAGAATAAGGGGGAAATACTACTTTAATAACAGCACAGATGACAACTTAAGCCTCATTCATTTATCAGCTGGGGAAGAGATGAAGGTAATGCCATGGGAACACAGCAGAACAAAGATATTACCAGGGCATGTTTGTGCTGTCGGTAGGTACAAGTGAGGAAATATATCCCTAGTCTCCTCTCTCTCTCACAGAATGTAATTTCCTTTAGCTAAGGTAGGGAGTGATGTTCAACCATGGATGAATCCTTTGTGCAGGAGAAGGACTGAATGAAATTGTCCAGAAGGAAAGTCCAATAAGTTCAAGATGACTGCAGAGATATTCAGAAGCTGCAAATTCATTTCAAATACTGTATATTATAGAGAGGAGATGAAATTTAGCATAAATCTATCAGAATCTTCTACAAGCAATAGGAATGACCTACCACTAGGTCCTTTCCTTTCCGAAAGCATTCTTCTTTCTGCCCAGGAAGAGGTGGCCAGTAAATCTGTAAAAGAAGACAAACTGTTGAGTTCAAGTTATTTGAAGGACATGCCTTAGGGACTGGGGATCTTCTGGGTTAGAAGGGTAAGTCCCAAGTTTCAGGATATGCTAAGTGATATTTTGGAAACATCAAAGTTAAGGTTGGTGCCAGTTACCAGAAATAAAACTCTCCCTGAGATAATATTATCTAATTTACTTACCTCCCTCCAGCCCCCCAAACCCTTGTAAATGTTAAGGCAAGTGACCACCAGTAGCCAAGCAAACAGGAAGGCGCTCTCTTGGATTCAACAAAGCACTCTCCAATCTGAATTAACATAGAAAAAATAGTTTCTCTCTGCAGAAGATGGATCAAATTAAGCAATAATCATAACTCTAAAATGAGTATGAACCAAAGGAATATTTTATTTATGTTATGGCCAAGCAGAGTCAAAAGCACAAGACAAGAAGCAAATAAAGAGACAAGACAAGGGGGAAAACCACCTAAGTCATTAAAATGAGTAGTCCAGATAAATTCATAAAGATAACAAGTGAACAAATGATACATGGTTGAGCCAAGGAAAGATAAGAACAGAACACATGAGGTACAACATTCAAGTGATGGCAGAATTTTTTTAAAAAAGCAGAAGCACAAGTGAAGAAAGAATTAACTCTATTCTGAGTTAAATGCAGAATAATCAAGCATTATCAATCATATGTAGTAATTGTCACCAAAAAAATCTTAGCAAAACAAGCACTAAGCAAAAAGAGAAGTAAAGAAGAAAATAATCAGAGAGTAGAAAAGAGAACAACACAGATCCACCAGAGAACAAAAATATTCAAGTCCTACCACACCAAGATTTCCCACCCCAATTGTCTACTGGATATGGCCCCATCTATCTCAGGCCACCAGCTGCAAAGCCACATTGGTGTGTTACAAGCAGCAAAAAAATAAAAAATAAAAATCCAGGTTCTGTGCAAAAGCAGGAAACCAGCTTTTAAAATTTTCCCATGCTTCTGCTGTGGGTGGAATACTCACACAGGCCTATTTCTCCTGCAGTTATTTTTTTTATTGGAGAGATTGACTGCCCACCATGCTTCCTGCCTCCCTGTTCACATTTCACACTCACTCAGCCAACAGTAACAGATTCCTGAGAGTGGTTGTGATCTGCATTTGGTGAGGACAAAACAAAGGAAAAGCAGGTTGGCTTTACATGCATTGAGTATGGCTCGCAAGTTGAGTGGGTTGTGTGTGGCAGGGCTCAGAAGTGGTGTTAAGGGTTTCTCCAGGATGGTGAATGGGAAACAAGGCAGCAGAAGGATTAGAAGACTAAGAAGATGGATCAGTACTTAGATCCTTCATAAGAAATGTTAGAATCATCAAAAATGAAAACTAGAGGACATGAAAAAAGGAGAAAGTTCTATGTTGAAAATACAACTAAATGTTGTTATGTTGCTTGGAATTAATCTATTATTTTATCTACTCTGAGAAAGTGAACTTAAGAGGCTATCTCAATATTTCAAAAATAAAGGAGTCTCTGAGATTATTTTATCTGAAACAAAAACATATTAATTATGCTATTGAGCTGCAGTTTCATGACATAGGAGAGAATTAAGATAAACCTCTTAAATAAGGGACTTCTGATTAACCCTAACCTGACCTTACAACTTGGCACTTTTATCCCTACTTGTTTATGCAAGCCAAGGCCTGATTTATAAAGTTTGTTTTACAGGCGGATGAACTGGCAGAGAATTGTGGAGAAACATTCATTTTAAAAAAGGAGAAGTATAGAGGAGTAAATGTTGACTTTTAATTTCTCTTTTGTGTGGTCTCACACCCTCAAGAACATAGCAATGCATAAACGACAAACTGCTGTTTCTAAAAGCCCTAAAGTTTACAGCTGACTAAGATTCTTAATTCCTAATTTGGTAGCGCTCAAAAACTTCCTTTCGAAATGGCCACAAGAAGCCAAGCTATATAATTAAAGAGAATAAATCTGCTCTTGTCTCATAGAATATTTCATACAAGCTTGTCCCAATGTATTTTATCAATAAGGTATCAACATGGGTGGACTCCTGCAAAACAGTAGGGTAAGCAAAAGAAAAGCCTGAAGAATATCTAAAATGAAAACCATAATTTTGGTTTCCAACTGCCATGTTTAAAAATTGAAGTGACCAGCATTAATTATTAATACTGTATGACTCCATTTAGGCATCCAAATAAAAATCAATAGCCAGAGGTCCTGCAACTTTTGAGCAGAATACACCAGGATGCATTATAAGATCATGATACAACTGATATGCCTCATTCTTCATACTTTAGGGATGTTATCTTTTCTTTGTAATCCTCTTGTGTTTTCCACCAAATCTTCCATCTTTTTACTTAATCAGAAAAAAATATTCCTCAAAAGGGGAAAATGAAATATTCTACAAAATATTTCAATAGATAACTCTACAAAATCATTCAGAAGTACCCCTAATCTTATTGCTGATCCTTCCTGCTTCAAAACCTAAGCTGTTTTAGATGTCCTTTCATTGCATATAAAAACTGAAAAAGAGACACACACATCCCTAACCTATAGCCATTTAACTGAAAGTGAAAACAGTATCTAACCATATGCAACTATAGCCCATGAGTCTTTCTTTCCTACATGCTGGTTTCCTACTTTATCAAACCTTTCAGTGGAGACTTCCTCAACTTGGTTTCCTTCAGATCTTTTGGACCAACCTCTATAACTTCCCATCTAGCATGACCAATGATGATACTGGCTAGTGATTATGAGAATTAAAATCAAAAACATCTGGAGGGTACCAGGTTGCAGAAGGCAGTACTAATGCTAAATACATATATAGCTGCAGACTCAGAGGACATCCACTACATTCTCTCCCTCTCCCACTCATCCATACACATAAATCTCTTCAGTCTGTGTATGGTACATACAGATGTAGCTAGTTTCCTTCTGTTGCCACTGCACCTATTATATTCTTCAGATTAATTAAATAATTTTTCTTTTATTGACTGATTCAGTAAGACCAGATTTAGCCAGAGTAACTTTATACCCAATCTTTGCATGGATTGGAGAAAAAGCTTGCCACAACTCATGCAGGTTAGGCAGAGACCAATAGTACAAAGAAGATAGGCCTCAGTGGGAAACCCTACCTTGACTAAACCAATTAGATTGTCTCTTTTCAAATCTGGACAAATTCCATTACATTAGTCATAGAACATACCTAAATGTATGTTCCTCTACAAGTCATGTTCGATCTGTGCATTAGCAGTGGTCCCATAAAGAGCAAGTGGGACACAGTCCATAATTTACCTTTAAGTTGAAGTCTTATGCAATTGCAAATAGCTTCCACTGAATATACAGTACATCTTTGCAAAAATGGCATCAAGCAATTCTCTTCAACATGCATGATTTAGGGGATACAATGTTGGCCAGACCAAAAGGGGGGGGGGAATCTGGATTTAATTTCTCATTGGCCAGATTCCCTCTAGATAGTCTTGACTTTTTCTTTATAGGTTTATTCTGCCATGGGTAAAATAAAAGTGTTAATGACCTATCTCACAGAATTAATGGACAAAGAAACAGAGCAATTACCATTAAGAAGTTTGCACAGTACTTACACTAAAAACTTCTAATCTGTCAGATCTCATTTCCTATCTCAATTTATACTAAGGTTGACCCAGCAGTTGATTTATTCATTTAACATGCATGACAGAAATCCTTTTGTAAACTTCTATAAATTACTTATAACCTGATCGTGTCTTGGCTTCCCATGCTTTCAATTATTTTAATTGCAGTATAATCTCTTTTGGGCTGTATGTTTTGCAGAACCCTCATCCATCTATCCAGTTTGGTGTCACATTTCTGGCTTCTATTTAATAAAGTTCTCTCTGCTCTTGACTCTAATGGAGCTTAGGCCTGACTTTGGAGAGCTCCTTCTGTCCATCTCAAGTTCCAACTTCTATGGAAGAAAATCTCCTCTAGGGACGATTTAATATCCTCATCTAAAACTACTAAAAAGTGCTTGGTCATGCTGGAGCAACATTCAATGAGCACATTTAAAATCACACACACGCACATGCACACACAAATAAAAGCCAGTACGCAAGACTCTGAAATACCCACAATAGAGGAATGGTAGGTGGAAATGACAGAATTAGCGGAATTGATAATTGACAAAATTGACTTGTTTGATTAGGGAAAGGGAACAATAACCACATTTATTAGCAATTGGAAACCCCTTATGGACTTTTTGCATTTGATCATTAGAAAGGGTAGACTATGGAAAGAAGGAAATTATGATTTAATCTTAGAGAGAGAGGGCAAAATATAAAAGCATTTATAACCACTGTTAAAAGATTGCAAGCTGCTTTTTATAATCTTTTCTTTTCTTTTTCTTTTCTTTTTCTTTTTTCTTTCTTTTTCCTATTTTCTTTCTTATCTATTCACTATTTTTCTCTATTTTCTTTATTTCTTTTCTAAAATATGTATTCTTTTTATCTTGTTAAAAATGTCTTTAATAAAACTTATGAAAAACAAACAAAAAACCAAATACAAGCCAATATACTTGTAGAGGCAGTTGAATATTATCATGTGGAAGATCAATGTAAGTATACATTTTATAGCAAGCTTTCCCAACAATGTTTAAACTGGCCAGCAAGAGGGAAACATATAACTAAGGTTAATAAACACAAGCATAAAGGCAAGCTCCTAGGGTCTCAACAATATAGCAAGAAGTTCCCATAAATGGCACAGATGGCTGCTTCCAAATTCACTTCCAAGTTTTTACAGAGCAATGAATCCAATGATTTACAGTATCTCCGCATTTCCTGATATTTTGCTGCTGTGGTCATGGAGAAGCAGCAGGAGTACCCATGATGGGCTGAACTGGCATTCTGCAAGCTATGGACTGCCCACTCTTCCACTGGAAACTGGCAAGTATCCGGTCCTGTTGCCTAAAACCTGGAATTTGAAGCCTTCTTCTCTGCTACCTTGGCCCTATTTATCCCCAATGCAAGCAGTTCACCTTTTCTCTCCAAAATAGGTCTACAACTAGTCAGGTTCTTACAAGACTATTAAAACTTAAATCTCCTTCACTTTTGTTGAGCTTGATCCCTAATAATTTCACAGACATGTCCCTGTAGTTTTCTTGGCAACAACAGGGAAATAGCTTGCCATTGTCATCTTCTGGGATGGGACAGGGGGTGGGGGGCTTCCCAGTCCAGGTTTCAGTCCTGGCATTCCCTAGGAGTCCCTCACCCAAGTACTAACCAGGCTTAAGCCTGCTTAGCTTAGAGTCCAGACAAAGTCAGCTAGGTGCTAATCACTAATAAAACTGTATACCTTAGATATAATAAATATATTATATTCCTAACTTATATGATGTACTGAGAACTCCTAATTCCAATCTCAGCTGAGTACTGAATTCATTCAGTGGCCATAGATAAGCCACAGTCTCTGGCCTCTCTCATTCTATGTTCTGTGACAGTCAGTACGGTGGCCTCCTTTCAGAAGCCACAATGAAGAAGGTGCCCGGGGAGCAGTTTTAATGACTCCTATGTAAATAATCAGTACTATTACAGATACCTGATTGCAAACAATCCATTTTAAGACCATTACCTCCTTGACATCCATATTGGCTTGGTCTAGCCGAAGCGAGTAAAGGGTGTCCTTTCCTCCAATGAATAGGCGGTCACGGTATTCATCTAGGTACAAGGAGCGAAAGTCTAAACTTCCCCGGTGACCAAGAAACAGGACTGAGCGGTTAGTGGCCAGGAGATCTAAGAGACAGGAATCAAATGACAAAGCAAAAAAGTTAAGATGAATAGGTTAAAATATAAGACGTTCTCTGAACCATGTAACTTGGTCAAGCCATAGCCTTGCTTGGGCACAAGGCACAATTCAATAAAAGGGAGTAGTAGCAAGTGGCTGAGAATTTACTTTGATTAAAAGTCTCATTCCTTCCAACAGAATTTTTGCATGTGTTTTGCCCATTACAGTCTCCATTTCTGCAAGTAGGATTTGGGTCAATTTCTGAATATTTAGATAGACACAAAAAGTTACTATGTAGGATCTTTTGAGGCAACACTTAAACCAATGTTTATCTTGCTATACACTTACCATGCTCCACTGAATCATGGTTTTATTCACCCAATTTTCTTTCTTTACATGGCTCACTGAATTATATACTAACCATACAAGAGGGTTTGCGGTGAGTTTGCACAACATGTCAGGCAATGTGGCTCACTAGTTAGCGGATCTGCAGATCAGACAAAAGTATAATGTGCTTTGCTTGATTTTGGCTTAGTGTGTTTTGTAAGCCAATCCACTGTGGTTTGTAAATCATAGTTATGGCTTGGTATGTTATATGACTGCAGCCAATTGCAGCTTAGTCAACAGATTCATGGTCAAATTACAAGAACTAGTTTACTGAATTCCATACCAAATGCCAAAGGTGATATGGAGGAAGATATCCATGCCCTATTTTCTTCAAATTCCTTCACAAAACTCATCTTTTCCATGAAGATTTTGGCAGAAATGCTTAGTCACATTCCAAACTGTTACTAAACCTAAGAATGTGTAACTTGAAAAATATATTCAGTTCACTCCTGCCTCTCTCTTCTTTTCTTTTTATCTGCTTTAAACTGAGGTTGTAATTTTCTCAGGATGAGACCTTTAGAACTTTATTAAACTGCAAACTTCTATAATTCCCTCTATTTTTCCCTAGTTCAGGTGAGCAGGGATCCTTATGGAGCTCTCCCAAAAGCTCACAATCCATGCACAAGGGTGAGATATCTGTTCATATGAAGAACTCCAAAAGTTGTAGAATTACAAAAAATAGGAAAGGCGGGGGGGGGGGACTAAAGGAGAGATTTCCTCTTATAGTCTAGAAACAGTACATATGGTTATTGGACATGAAATGCTGTATGCCTACTGAAGTGAAATACAAATAAAGTAGGCCAAAACATGGACAGCATAGCTTCTGGAATCCTTTTCAAATCATTAGCAACAGTTCTGCTCTGAATCACCACACCAGCGAGGAGGAGGGATGGGTCTTACAGTAAACCAATCAGCAGCATTCAGGAGCCACTGCCCTCTCCTCTCTACAGAACCACCTGCAAGAAAGGAGCCAAGGCGGCCAAAATGGCAGGTGCAATTGTGAATCAAAGCCCCACCCCAGTGTATGTGCATCAATGTTGTACATATGTACCAAGGGGTGGGGCTTCAATCTGCAGTTCTACCCACCATTTTGTCCCCCTTATCCCCCTTTCAGAAAATAAGAGGATGACCAGCAGCAAGGTGGATGGACTCGGTTACAGTGGCAATGAGTGCATCATTGGGAGACTTGAAAGAACAGGTTAGAGACAGATCATCATGGAGAAAATCTATCTATGTGGTCACTAGGAGTTGAAAACAACTTGATGGCACATAATCAGTCAATCAACCTTGCAGATGGCTCTGCATAGAGATGCATTAGGGAATTTTCTTTCTGATTTTTTTTCCTCCAAAGCCATGTTGCCATATATGGCTGATTTTCAAACTCTATCTTTTGCTGGCTTCTCCCACCACACCAAATTTAATCCCATTCCGTTCAGTTTTCAGAGAGTTACCATGCTGACCAACAGATTGGCAGGCAGAGTCCTGAGCCCCTTTACATAATTTTTCCAACATTCCTTTGGGCTGGAAAGAATAAAAAGTTGGTGGGAAAAGAACTGGAATAGAGAAGAGCAAGGCTGGATGACTGGAATGCTCAACAGAAACAATCCAAATTATAACCTTTTCTTGTGGGTCCTGTTTTACATAGAAAGATGCACACACATGCATACAATTTCCTTTCCTTTTTTGTGCTATAAAATGAAGAGAGAATATATTGTTAATTTTCCAGTGTAAGTCAAATAACAAAATACATTCCTTACATTATGCAAAACTACGCATGCCAGATGACAATGATAGATTCCACTAATATCTCAGAAAATCTGATAAGTCACAAAATTAATTTTTAAAAATCCATTTTTAAAAAAAGCTATATAATTTGTGGTGTGTTATTCTTACTAATTAAACATCTTTCTTAATTTAAAAAAGCACAAACTTTTGAAACTGAGAATCACAAAATCTGAGAATGTTCATACTTGTCATAAACTCCAAGAACTCTTCCTGGTTTGTACTGAAATGCACATATCCCATGCCAGTTTCAAGGGAGAATGTAGGGACTGGAAATGAATAGGCTATTTCCTCTGCTTCAAGGCCAATCGAACTTAAAGCCAAGACATACATGCATACATAGATAAATATGTTGCATTAATCTGGACTGGAGCAATGATAAATGCTGCACCAGTGGGAAAGATGGGTATTTTAGAATCATCTGAATAAGCCCCAATAAAGTAGTGCAATATGAAAAATTCCAAAACTAATCTTTTTCAGTTCCATGAACTTCACAAGTTTCATGGAAAGGAGTTATGAATGAGGGTTTCTCTAAAGCAATTACCACAAAGGTTTCTGCTCTTGATATATACTGGATTTGTCAAGAATCAAATGGCTTTATGTCAGGGAAATGGGATACAGTATAAACAATTTTGAACCTTGGTTCAGATTTCTACTTTGGTTAGGAAGTGGAAGGGGGGTGGCTAGAAAGATAGTATTTGTTACTATCTTTCTTACCCTGTCTCAGTAGCTATATGGCTGGTAGAAAGGATGGGGTTTAAAACTGGAAATTTAACACATTGGCCTACGAGGGCCATCTTTTTAGTCTCTGACAGGTCCCCAAGCAATTTCTGCAGCTAGGAACGTTCAGCACTCCATCTGAAAGGCTGGAAGGAGCTGCCATTATCTGGGAGTGAAGACAGAAGGATTCTTTAAGGCTGATAAAAAGGCTAAAAGATAAATGCTCTATAAAGTAGTCAATCTGTGTGACAAGGATAACTCCCTGACAGTTGCAGAATGAGTCTTATCAGTGGCTGCTGAAAGCTGGGATAGATTTGAGGACTTGAAACACTGTGGGGAAAAAGTAAGGAGAGAAATGTGGGGAGAAAGAGGAGAAAAGAGAGTACACTGGGTTCTGTAAAAAGAGAAACTAGAAAGATTAATTAAAGACCTTTAAAAAAAAAAGCTGAAGCCCAGCTGGTGTCCTTCAGGTGTATTCCTCACCCTCAGTCAGCAGGGCCATGATGTTTTGGGGCAGGGTTCCTCAATCTTGGCAACTTTAAGACAGGTGGACTTCAACTTCCAGAATTCTGGAAAGGCCTGTTTAAATCTCTGTCTGTTTTGGGAGTTGAAGTCCACCCGTTTTAAAGTTGCCAAGGTTGAGGAACCCTGTTTTGGGGTGTTGAGAGGGTCCCAATGTACCTAGTGGTCAAAGCACCTGACATGGAGCTCCTGTGCTAGGAAAGATGATGAATAAAGGCCAAAATGCTCATCATTAAATGCAATCTCTCTGGAAACCACCAGGTTGATGAAACATGTTATCTGCTGTTCTTTGACCTAGGAGAAGATACAATATCTGCAAAAATACCATTTGTTTGTTTGTTTGTTTGTTTGTTTATTTTTCTTTGTCTAGTCATTGCAGAAAACTATTTGCAGACTGAGATTCATTTGTCAAATATGACTGACAAAGGTCAGGAGGTTCCGATATTAGAATATATAAACACCGCATATATTCCTTAATGTTGCTATCATTGCTATGGAATTCACTGCATTACCATTTCCTCCTGTTGTAATACTGAAGATATTGTATCATGAAGTTTTTTTAGGATGGAAATAGCCTTAGTGAGAAGAGGCCTCCATCAGGTCAGATGGTTCCTGTCAATTCCACAACATAATTGTTCTGTTGTATAGAGATGAGAAAATACAAGCCTGGGGAGGAGAAATTCCCAAGAGAATTGTTTGGCACACGCAGGAATCTGTCTTTCGCCCCTGAAGATGGTGAGCCTGGAGTCAGGTGCTTGTCATGCTGAATAGTTCCCAGCTGTTAACAGGCATGCCAATACAGAAACATCCTTGGAGACCAGCATTCCAGTTTGCTTCCTAGGCATTCACCAGCTGTCTCTCTCTTTCTCTGGCTAGGCTGCAGCTATTATATGAAGTATAATTGTGTATTTATAGCCATTACTCCACAGGAAGATAAACCAGACAATATATCTTTGACCTTTTAAATCAGCACTGGCTGTAAGAATCTGACCATGGAATATTTAGCATTACCTAACATGATTGCTCAGGTCTGACTCAGGAATTATTGAAATTCATTGCCAAGCTCTGCATCTCCAGCAAAATTCTCAGGCACAATTTTATTTCATTAATCCGTTTTTGCTAAATTGTGCCTTTCTTGCATATGTAATGCCTATGTTTCAGTAGCTATTTTTGGTCTCCTTATTTTACCCCTCTAAGTCCAAGAGTTCCCAGCAACATCTCCTTTTCCTGCAAGGTTTCTGCATTCTGAATATATATATATATATATATATATATATATATATATATATATACACATACATACATACATACACATACATACATACATACATACACACACACACACATACACACACATACATACATACACATGCACGCACGCACGCACGCAGAGTATGTATGTGTGTGTATATATATACATATACATAAAAAATTC